TCCTTTGTTTTCTTTCCTGATGATTCTCAATAAAAACCCAGAGAGGCATAGCATAGGGGATGCAGTTCTCCCAGCTGTTAGCCCCCTGCCTTCATGTTTTCTGGCCTGACCTCCTTCCCCCCCACCCCCGCTCCCCTCAGGAAAAAAAAAAATCAATGCTGCCTTACCCCAGCTTCCTTGGCCAGCTGTTAAAATCTAAGTCAGGAATCTTCTCATCCAGGAAACTTACCACCAAATTCTTACCTCACCTTTAGTTACAAACTTTGTACTACGCACTTGCCAATCACAGCACTTATCACCTTGTATTGCAATAATTTATCTGTTATCCTAGTTAGATTATTCCCTTAAGGGCAGGAAAATATCGCTATCAATAGCAGAGCTACCTGATAACTACAGACACATGTCAATTACAGGTGAGGCTTGATATTTATTGAATGTTAACTTCTACATTTAAGTGGACTCTCGCATTCCACTGCCATTGTCAAAGTTCAGTCTCCTATTTTTTTTTTTATGGCCATAATCTAGATGCACAGGAAATAAAATAATCAGAAACAGAGCAAAGGAACAAAAGTAACCCCAATAGAAAGTGAGTAAAGGTAAAGAGTGAAGAGCAGGCAGAAGACAAAGAAGGTATTTGGGGCTATGTTGTTGTTACTAGGAGTCCATTTTCTCTGTATTGATGGAGGTCACATACGGAAAGTCTTGGTTTGCATTTGATCTGTGTTTGGCTTGCGTTATAGGTAATGCAATCAATATTGAAAGCTACATTCTTTGATGATGTTCGGTTTGTAAATGGTTTTTCCCCTCCACAAGCAGCTTTAGTATTAATAATACTTTACTAATAAATTTAGCAAATTTATTATATGAGAAATTTATTATTTGGGAAGGACATACGCCAGGGATGTGTCCTAGCTCCATACTTTTTTCAACCTGTATGCAGAACAGATTATCTGGGAGGCTGGGCTCTATGAGGACAAGCGTGGTGTTAGGATTGGTGGACGATCTATCAACAATTTGCGTTATGCAGATGACACAACCCTGCTTGCTGAAACTGAGGAAGACCTGAAGCGCTTGCTGCAGAGGGACAAGGACTGCAGCCTACAATATGGATTGAGGCTCAGTGTCAAGAAGACAAAGATTCTCACCACTGGACCAATTGGCAGCATCAGGATGGATGGTGAAGAGATTGAGATTGTACACAGCTTTAGTTTGCTTGGCTCCACAGTCAACAGTCTTGGCACCAGTAGCCATGAAATTAAAAGGCGCATTGCCATGGGACAGTCTGCTGTTAGGGACCTCTCCAAAGTACTGAAGAGCAATGGTGTCTCTCTGGAGACTAAGGTGCGTCTGATACAGGCCATGGTCTTCACAATCACTTGTTATGCATCAGAAAGTTGGACAATGACCAAGGAGGATAGAAGGAGAATTGATGCCTTTGAGCTGTGGTGCTGGAGAAGAGTATTGAGGGTACCATGGACTGCTAGGAAAACAAACAGATTCATCCTGTTAAACAGGATTAAACTGGGTGGCTCCTTGGAGGCAAGGATTCTGAGGCTCCGTCTAACATACTTTGGACATGTTGTGAGGAGAGACCCGTCCTTGGAGAAGGACATCATGCTTGGGAGGGTGGAGGGACAGTGCAGGAGGGGAAGGACCTCTATGAGGTGGATTGATTCAGTGACTGGGATAATCGGGATGGGAGTGTCAGAGACAGTGCGATTGGCACAGGACAGAGCAGAGTTTAGGGCTGTTGTACACAGGGTCGCTATGAATCGCAAGCGACTTGATGACACATAACAACAACACACCATCCTATGGGTTGGAGGAAGATTCATCAACAACCTGTGTTATACAGATGACATAATCCTGCTTGCGGAAAGTGAGGATGACCTAAAGCACTTGCTGCAGAAGGTCAAGGACTGCACCTTTTAATATGGATTGAAGCTCAATATCAAGAAAATAAAGATTCTCTAGGGAGCTCTGGTGGTCTAGTGGCAAAAGCTGCACTGCAATCCCAGAGGTACACCGTTAGAATCCACCAGATGCTCTGCTGGAGAAGGAGGAGCCATCTCCTCCTGTACCAATCAGATCTGATTCGATAGTTGTTGTTAAGTGCTGTCAAGTCATAGCCAACTTATAGCGACCTTATGAACGAAACACCTCGACACTTGTGTGTGTGACTTTCATCCTTTCTCCAAGTTCATAGGGTTTCCGGAGGCAAGCTATTTATGGAAGTGGATGCCACTCCTGCTTCCAAGGATTTGATGGTACACACACAAATAATAATAAAATTTTTTTAAAAAAGAAAGAGTCTCACCAATGGGACAACTGGCAGCATCATGACAGATGGTGAAGATTGTTAACAGCTTTAGTTTGCTTGGCTCCACATTCAACACTTGGTACCAGCAGTCAGGAAATCAAAATATTAATTGCACTGAGAAAGTCGGCTGTCAGAGATCTCTCCAGAGTACTGTAAAGCAATGGTGTCAGTCTGGACACTAAGGTGTGCCTGATACAGGCTATAGTCTTTGCAATCACTTGCTGTACACCAGAGAACTGGACTAGGGATGATAGAATTGATGCCTTTGAGTTGTGGTACCATGGACTGCTGAGAACGAATAGATTTGTCCTAGAGAGGGTGAAATTAGGCTGCTCCTTGGAGGAAAGGATTCTGAAGCTTCGTCTAACATACTTTGGACACGTTGCAAGGAGGGAACAGTCCTTGGAGAGGGATGTCATGCTTGGGAGGGTGGAGGGACAGCTTAAGAGAGGAAGACCCTCCATGAGAAATCAACACAAGATAGAGCAGGGTTTAGGACTATTTTACACAGGGTCGCTATGAGTTGCAGGCAACTCAATGGCACAGAAAAACAACATACCATCCTCATATCTGATATGCTCAAATCAACTGTTACAGTCACTGGGCTAATAATCTGTCTTGTTTAGGGTCTTCCTCTCTTGCTCTATATTGTCCAGCATGATGTTATTCTCCAAGGGCTGGCGTATCCTGTTAACATGTCCAAAGTATGTGAGATGAAATTTCACTACCTTTGCCCTAAGAAGCATTCTGGTTGCACGTCCAAGAATTGTTTGATTTTTTGCAGTCCATAGGAAATTTAGTACTCTTCTCAAATACTACAACTCAAAAGTACCTTTTCTTTTATCTCTATTTATTGTTCAACTTTCATATGCACAGTCACTGTTGTTATGAATTGTTGAGTGGGAACCAACTCATAACTGACCCTCCAAATACATTTTCAGAGACAGTAAATTGCATGGAAGGAAGACTGTCCATCTTTCTCAGGTTAAGCCAGTGGTGGATTCAAATCATGAGCCTTCAGGTTGGTCACACAACTCTTTACCACTAAGCCACTAGTTGAAAATACTGTAGCTTGGATGAGGCATACCTTAATCTCTAAACTGACATCATTCTTGCTGTAGTTTATTGTTGTGTACCGTAGAGTTGGAACCGACCCCTCAGCTAACTCACCAGCGGATTTTCAGAGGCAGTTAATTGCACAGGAGATTGCTCATCCTTCTCCCACGGAGCAGCTGGTGGTTTTGAACTAGTGTCTTTGGGATTCCAATGCTTCTTGTCACTAGGCAACCAGTTATTAGCTGCTGTCAATTTCAGCTGAGACTCACAGCAGTGTCCCATGGTTACAGAGGACTTGTTTTACAGGTTTTCAAGACTGATGTGAGAAGCAGATGGCCAGGTCTGTCCTTTGAGGTACCTTTGGGCGTGTTTGAACTGTCAGCCTTTCAGCTCCTAGTCAAGCACTCAACTGTATGTGCACCAGAGGTCCCTTCTTAATAGTCTATTTATATTCAGTATATTTCTGCCTATAACACACGTCAACATATTCTATATTCTAATAGTTCGTGTCTCTCAACTATTAAATCCCAGGAAAAAATCTAAACATTTAGTCTTATGTTATGAATGCGATAGACATTGAGTTCTAATGAATAAAACTAGAGACTAAAACCAACACCACTCCCAGGGCCAAGCTGATTTTGACTGGTGGTCATCCCACAAGCTAGACAGGAGTGATTCCACGGTGTCCAGTCATTGGAAAGCTTGGTTGATGTGGACTGTAAGGTCTTTCTTCAGCAGTGTCGCTAGGTGAGTTTCAAACTGCCAACCTTTTGGTTAGTAGTCAAGGGCACAATATGTCACCCAGACCTTAAAACTAGGGACAGCTAATACATCAAAGATGAGAAGACATTTATTATTCAGCATTCCAAAACTTTCACATTACAAGGTCCAAAGTAAAAAATTCTTTTTATTACTCTATAGTCTACAATTTGTAGGCAGATTATTTAAAGACATTTGAAGGGTAAGTCAAATTTCAATATATCTACAAAGGGTCTCTTCTCTAAATAGAACCTGTCTATATGATCAAATTCTCTAAGCTCGCCATCTACTTAAGATTTAGAAACTGGTAATGTGAGAAGGCAGCATGTTCTAACTTTAATGTTTCCCTTGGGTTTGTAACCACCAGCAGTTGGTATCAACAGAAAACAGGAGACAGTTTTCAGAAACTAAAACATAGTTCAATTTTCTGAAAAAATTTTTATTTATGACTTAATAATTTTTCCCATTGTCCATCATTCCCAAAATAGGTTTGCTCACAATGTGCAGGTAGTAATAAACTGAATTCCCATTAGGCTCTTAATGAATTAAAAGGCAAAAGCTCATATATACTGTTTCATTAGACTGTGATGCTTTTGTTACACTGCGATGCTTGAGAGCAATTAGGAGGAGACAACTCCATTACGTTACTAAAATGAGAAATACAGCCTCATTATTTAATGACTATCATTCCTTCCAACTTTTTTCCTCAAAGATTAAATTCTGAAAATAATTATGTGACTAGGAGGAGAGAGCTGTCTTACCACTGGACGTATCTGTTAGGCTTCGTCCTTATTGTCAGTTGAATGGCATGACAGAACAGAGGCAAAGAAGTATATAATCATTTGTAGGTCTTAAGTGAAAAAAGTCAGAGCTTCCACAGCATGGCAACAGCTCTGCAGATGCCTACATCGTGGTAGTTGAAATAACAGAGGCCAGCGAAGGTTAGAGCTGAGAGTGCCAAGAGGCCCGCCTTGGCAGCTTTCTGGGATGCATCTCCGTGGACATAGTCAGTAACAACCTGTCCGAGGCCCCTAAAAAATAACAAAATCATAGCACAGATGAAAATCTAACAAGTTAGAAGACTATAACTTAACTACAAAATAAGTAATCACTCACATCCAACGCACAAAGTCCTGGCTATCATTCCAATGATCACTCTCTAATTCAAGAAAAAACTCATGAGAATCAACGTAGCTATTTCTACAGAGATGAAATTGTGTTTTTTTTGTGTTACTAAACTAAAGCAACTAGTGGTAATAAGAATTACAAACCAAGATATAAGAATATAATAAATATAATAAATACAATATAATAAATATTTAATATAATAAATACATCTTGCTACGCTAAAGAATTTTCAAGATCATTTAAAGATTTAATTTCTCAATCATGTTGTCCACTTAAAAGAGTATATTTTTTTAACTGAAACAAATACACTATGGAGTTTTTTCAATAATTTAGATATTTCTTTATTGAGCAGTTATTATGTATCAAAACTGTTAAAATGTTGGGAATACAGTAAAAAAGATAGCATCCATGTCTTTACAAAACATACATCCTAATAAAGGAGAAAGAAAAAGTAAATAATTATTTACAATAAGAAAATAATTTAGATAGGTTGACTAAATTTAAAAAGCATTCCAAAAGAGGTAACAACGACTTTAGCATCTTTGAGGAATAGTGAAAGGGTTAGAATGCTGGAGTACATGAGTGAGGTGGAGATGAGCGGAAGGCGGGTAGATCACTTAGGGCCTCAGGTCATAAGGAAACTGAGCTTTACTGGCAGTAAAATAGGAAACTAATGATGTGTTTTAAAGTAGAGACATGACAAAGTGACAGCTTTTAAAAGGAGTTAACCTACTTTATAAAATAACAGCTTTTTTTTACATATAGCAAAAAAAATAATCATGATGTTAGTTTATCATTCAATAGGTGGTTCTGTAATTATTGACAATTATATAATCATGACCATTACATAATTGAAGACCATTTCATTAACCACCCAAACACTCAATATCATTAGTTACTCCTCATTTCCTAAACTCCTCAAGTCTCTGGCAATCACTATTCTACTTTCTGTCTCAATGAATTGGTCCAATGTAGGCATTTCATTCAATGGACTGATAGAATGTGTGGCCTTTACTAATTGGTATCTTTCATTTAACATGATGTCTTCAAGGTTCATCCATGGTGTAGTATGTATTAGTACTTTACTCCTTTTATGACCAAATAATACACCATCATACAAATAAACCACATTTTGCTTATCCATTATGTCTATTTTTAGACTAGTAGGAATACTGCTGCTATGAGTATTTATGTAAAAATTATTGTGGTGGTGGTGTTGTTATGTGCCATCGGGTCACTTGCGACTCATAATTGAAGTTGTCAGCAATTTCATTTTACTTAGCTTCATAATCAATACTCATGGTATTTGCAGTCAAGAAATTAAAAGACATGCTTCATTGGAAAATATACTATCAAGGATTTCTTGAAAGTGCTAAAGACCATGAATGTCAATTTGCAGACTGTTGTTGTTATATGCCGTCGAGTCATTTGCGACTCAAAGAGACCCTATGTACAACAGCTCTTCTGCACCCTGCCCTATCCTGAGCTAACCTCCTTGTCTTAGACGCACTTGCCCCCATTACCCCAGTCACTGAGTCATCCATCTCACCAGGGTCTTCTTCTCTTGTGTTGTCCCTCCATACTCCCAATGAAGCCAATTCTCTTGGAATTCATATATATATGCAGCTGTACATATGTATGTGTGCATGAGTTAGATATACATATAAAAACTCTTAGGTCATATTGCTAGGTTACCACTCTAGGGAGCTCTGGGATGTTGCCAGTAGGGAGCTGTGCTGCTAACCCAAAGGCAGTGCTTCTGTCAGTTTAAATCCACCAGTGGCTCCATGGGAGAAAGACATGTCATCCCCTCCCCTGTGATTTACACCCTCCAAACCCCTAAAGGGCCAGATATGAGCTGGTTCCAACTCGATAGCAAGGAATTTTGAGTAATATATACATGTAAGAAAGGAGTTCTGGTGGCCTAGTGGTAAGAAGTTGCACTGCAATCCCAAAGGCACTCGGTTTGAATCCACTAGATGCTCTGTTGGGAGAAACACGGGCAATCTTCCTCTAGTGCAATTTTGCTGCCTCTGAAAACCCACTGGAGGGTCAGGTATGGGTCAGTTCTGACTTGAAGGTACTCAACAACAATAACAACATACATATAAGAATTGCTAGGTCACAAGGCGCACTGTGGTAGCTTAGTCATAAGGAATCGTGCTGCCAGTGCAAAGGTATGTGGTCCAGACCCACCATGCTCTGCAGGACAAAGCCGGGCAATTTCCTCTCCTGCGATCTCTCATGCCTCTGAACATTCACTGAAGGTCAGCAATGGCTCTGTTTCCACTCAATGGAACACAACAACATGGCATTCTGAGGGCCTAACAGATAAGGAGCTGTACTCTCAACTCAAGGCATGTGGTTCAAACCCAACAGCTGCTTTGAGGGAGAAAATGAACACTCTTCAACTGTGCGATGTACAGACTCTGAAAACCCACTGAAGGTTACCTGTGAATTGGTTCTGACCAGATGGCACAAAACAACAAAATATGCTAACTCTGTAATTAACTTTTTGAGAAACTGCCAAACAGTTTTCCAAAGTGGTGATAATATTTACATTAGTATCAGTATTCCAAATTCTCCACATTCTCTGAATACCTTGTCCTGTTTTTATCAGTATAGTCATCAATATGCGGAATACATAGTCTTATTTGCAGAAAAGAAGAACTAAAGTTTTTATTAATAAAACTCAAAGCTTTCATTATGGAGTATACAGAAAGATAAAGAAAACAAAAATCTTCACAACTAGGCCAAATGGCAATATCATGATAAATGGAGGAAAAAAATTTAATTTATCAAGGATTTTACTTGACTTGGATTCATAATCAACATCCATGCAAGCATCAGCCAAAAAATAAACAATACATTGCACAAGACATATTTGCTGCAAAAGAGTTCTAAAGAGTAAGGATGTCACTTTAAAAACTAGGGTGCACCTGTCCCAAGCCATGGTATTTTCAATTGTTTCATATGCATCCAAATGCTGGACAAGTAAGGAAAGCTAAAGAAGAATTGATGCTTTGAATGGTAGTGTTGGTGAAGAATATTAATTTACCATGGCCTGCCAAAAGAATAAGTATGTTTTAGACTTATTGCAGACTGCTCATTAGAGGTTAGGATGGCTAAGAATTCATCTCCCATACTTTGAGCATATTATCAGGAGAGGTCGTCCCTGGAGAATGGCATCATGCTTGGAAAAGAAGAGAGTCAGCAAAAGAGAGGAAGACCATCAATGAGATGAACAAACACATGACTGCAACAATGGACTTGGACACAGCAGAGACAGAGAACAGTGCAAGATGTGTGGTGTTTTGTTCTAGTATACACTGAGCTGCTGTGAGTCAGAGCCAGCCTGATGACCCCTACCAACAACAGCAACAAACAAGAGGAATAATAAGTGTCTGAAAAATATCAAAGGAGAAAAGACAGGATGAACAAGAGAGAGAAAGCAATTCAAAGTGAAGGAAGAAATGGAGAATCAAGTCTGCAGACTACTGTAAGGACTCCGGTTTTATGAGTAAGATGAGGAGAAAAGGGTTCTGAGAAAAGAAAGCATTAACACTTTAACAGGAGCACTGGAACTACTGTGCCAAGAACAGACCCATGGTGACAACAGTAGGGGCAAGTAGAGTAGTAGGGGACTGGTCAGGAGACAACAGCTAGAGTAAAGGATAATAAAAAAGCTTGGAACTTAAATAGAAGAATGGAAATGCTATTGAGATAGGCAAATGTCCAGGAGGTACAGCCGTATGATATAACATGCTTCATTCACAATATATCAGCTATGCAAGTGAAAAAGAGAACAGGGAGAAGGATATACAAATCTGACAATACAAGTACTTCACCTTTTAAAAGTTTTTTGCAAGTTTTGAGTATTTCAATAAAATTCTCCTTCATATGTAACATGTTCACAGAAAACAAACTGAGCAGAGAATAAAAAATTGAGAGGATTGTTATACTTGCCAGTGACTATGGATAGTAAGGGCTGCAGCCAACGAGTAGTCCATCGCAGAGCAAGGATTCAAATAAGCAGCTGGAAGTAGACCCAGGAGGAAAACACTGACAACTCTCTCACCAGTCCAGTGGAGAGAGGCAGCCTTGGAACCAGCTAGAGAAAATCAGAGATGAGAGGAAAAATATATAGAACATTTGCCAAAAACAACCCTAACTGACAGATTAACTCACAATATGCATCTAAGATTTAACTGTAAGCCTGAAAAAGCTAGGCTATAAAAATAAATCATTAAAAGAGATGTTATAAGACTCCTTTGAAGTCTTTTTAACACAAAGATATCTCAACATCCACATTTCTGAATTAGAAGCAGATCTACTTTGCTTATGAGAAAAGAATGAGATATCTGGGCAGCGTTAAAACCAATCCTGGCATTGTGCTTAGTGAACTAACTCCATAAGGACAAATACTGTATAATAAAACCATTATTGTAGAATGAGTATGAGGATCTGAGGTGGGGAATGGAGGATGGTGGAAGCAGAGAGGTGAGGATGGGGGGAGGGGCAGGTTAATCATAGGGTTGTATAATTTGATGGGAGGGGTGTGGTGAACGAAATGAGATCTAGTGTGAAAAACAATGTATTCGAACTTTGTAAATAAACCGTTATTTTAATAAAAGAAAAAAACCAAACCAAAAAAACCCAATCCTGAAATAGATACCTTATAACTAGAAGTGAATCATGCCTGAAAGGTTTTGTTGCTATGTGCCCTTTCAATGACTCCCAGTGACCCTATGAACAACAGATCTTAATCTTGTCTTACCCTGCAGCTTCCTCACAATCCCTGGTATGCCTGAGCCCCTTGTTACAATCGCTGTGTCAATCCTGTCAGTCAAGGTATTTCCTCCATTTCTCTGACCCTCTACCTTTCCCAGCACAATGTCTTTTCCCAGGGTCTGGCCCCTCCTAACTCCATATCCAAAGTATGTGAGATGGAGTCTCACCATCCCTGTCACTAAGGAGCAAGCTAGGTGTACTTACTCCAAGAAAAGACTTGTTCTTTTGGTAGTCCAGGGGATATTCAATAGTCTTCACCAAGACCACACTTCAAAGGCATTGATTCTTCCTCCGTTATCCTGATTCACTGTCCAACTTTCAAAAGTATTGAAAATACCCTGGCTTGAATCGGGCACAGCTTAGTTTTTACACCAACATCTTTGTTCTTTAGTTTTCTAGAGAGGTCTTTGCCACCAGGTTTCCGAGATTCAAGACATCTTTTAATTTTTTGACTGCTACTACCCAGAGTACTGATTGTAGATCCAAGGAAAATGGAACTATCCACTGGGGTTAGAAGAGGCTGTGGTACCAGGGCTATTACAGCTAATGTTAGATGGATCTTCGCTGAAAGCAGACAATACCAGAGGAATGTCTATCTGTGTTTCATTGACTGTGCAAAGGCATTTCACTGTGTAGATGACAACAAACTGTGGCTGACTCTGCGAAGAATGGGAATCCCAGAACAACTGACTGTGCCTATGCAAAACCTATACCTGGACCAGGAGGCAATCATCAGAATAGAGCAAGGAAACACTGCATGGTTCAAAATTGGGAAGGGTGTACAACAGGGATGTGTCCTATCTCCATACCTTTTTAATCTATATGCAGAAGAGATCATCATAGAGGCTGCGCTCTATGAGGAAGAATGTGGCATCAGGGTTGGAGGTAGACTCACCAACAATCTGCTTTATGCAGATGATACAACCCTGCTTGCTGAAAATGAGGAGGACGTGAAGTGCTTACTGTACTTGAAGTTCAAGATCTGCACCCTTCAATATGGACTGACGCTAAACATCAAGAAAACAAAGATTCTCACCACTGGGACAATTGTCAGCATCATGATAGGTGGTGAAGAGATTGAGATTGTTAATAGCTTCAGTTTACTTGGCTCCACATTCAACATTCTTGATACTCTTGGCAGCCAAGAAATCAAAAGACAAATTGAACTGGGAAAGTCCACTGTTAGGGATCTCTCCCAACTACTGAAGAACAAAGATGTTAATATGGAGACTAAGATGCGCCTGATCTGGGCCATAGTCTTCGGGATTACTTGCTGTGCATCAGAAAGGTGGATACTGACTACAGATGACAGAAGGAGAATTGATGCCTTTGAGGTGCGGTGCTGGAGAAAAGTATTGAATATACCATGGACTGTTAGGAGAACAAACAGGTTCGTCCAAGAGTGTGAAAACCAGATTGCTACTTGGAGGTAAGGATTCTGAAGCTTTACCGACATACTTTGGGCATGTTGCAAGGAGGGACCAGTCCTTGGAGAAAGACATCATGCTTGGGATGGTGGAGGGACAACACAAGAGAGGAAGACCCCATATGAGATGGATTGATTCAGTGATTGGGGTAATGAGGGTAGGTGTGTCAGAGACAATAAAGTTGGCATAGGATAGAGCAGGATTCGGAGCTATTATAAATAGGGTCACTAAGAGTCCCAATCAGCAATCCCAGAGGTACGTGGTTCAAATCCACCAGATGCTCTGCTGGAGAAGGAGGGGGCAATCTCCTCCTGTACCAGTCAGATCTGATTTGACGGTACACGTAAAATAATACAATAAAAATTTAAAAAAAAAAGAAAAGAGTCCCAATCAAAGGCACATAACAACATCAACAACTTCTTGTCTAGTTATAACTTTTTATCTTTTGAAATAATGATTGTTAGCTATTAATTTCAAAACAAAATTAAGCCTATCAACTCAGGGAGAAGCAAACTTCTGAGGCAATATTTAATATTCTTTATAGCTTGTTGCTTATAAGCAGCTCTAAACAGTTATGGACACTGAAACCTTCTTTCAAATAAGTGAAAAACCATATAGTCTTTAAGTATTTGAAAGACTGTTTTTGGTTACAGACCCCATTGGGAACCTAATAAAAGGAATGGAGTTTCTTCCCAGAAAAATAAACAAACACATGCACACATGTTTTAATGACAGAACTTCTGGGGATATATAATGCTACACATCCCTGAACCATGATCCATTAAAAACATTCTGCTAAATCTAACTGAATTAAGCAAAGGTAAAAGATTTTCAAAGACAAAAAAGACTCTTAAAGCAGAAAACATACTTTTGTTTTTGTTTGTTGTTAAGTGTGGTCGAGTCGTAGGCGACTCAAAGCGACCTTATGAACGAAAGTCCTCAATACTTGCATGACTTTCATCCTTTCTCCAAGTTCATAGGGTTTCTGGAGGCAAGCTATTTATGGGAAGTGGATGCCACTCCTGCTTCCAAGCTTGTTATAATTGGGGAGCTCCACCAAACACTGTCCACCATGGGTGATCATTAATGCATTTGATACATCAGTGTCACAGTGTTTAGCTTCACAGCAACCACAAGTTACCTCTGTACGGCAAGTGGAAACACCAGGGCTATATGACCTAGAATATTTGTCCAAAAACAATGAAAAACAGACCTGAGGGCCGTGGATTAAAAGTCACCCATCTATATTTGTTTAATCTCTTATAACTTAGATACAGCTATACATCAAAATCTGTATCTCTGTAAAGTACTAACTACTTCAAAATTTTAAAATGTAAATAGTCAATTAAAGTATTCACTTACAGATTTACCTACAGTTCTAAGACATATTTTAATGCTATCCAAAACAGTATTGTTATAGAAAAGGCCAAATTATTTAAATAGCAACTAAAATAAACCTAAAGGAAAAGTCATCAGTCAAGTACTTGTAGAATATGTGACTCATTCCACAAGACAAGACTTCTAAAAGTGCCTAGTCTGGTAGGGAAAAGCACATACAATGGTGGCTCGGGGACAAGTGAATGTGCTGCATTCCTGGACATGACCGGTCCTGGAGAAACGCTGAGACAGGGGCAGGTCTGACTGGGGTCCGGAGGAAAACAGCTGCGGAGAGAAAAATCAGAAAGATTCATTAACACCTCTTCTACCAGGGTCAAGTACCACAGGCCAATTGCTTAGCTCCAAATAAGGAAAAACAACTCATCTGTACAATGATATCTCTTTCACTAGGTTGTTGACTTAAGTTAAGAATACACTTAAAGATGGGGAAAAACCAAAACCAACAATACATCACTTATGTAGGTTGTTGTTGTTATGTATTGAGTCACCTGTGACTAATAGCAACCCTTTGGACAGCAGCTCTAAAGCCTGCCCTGTTCTGAGCCAATCTCAATGACTCTGAAACACCTACCCCCACTGCCCCAGTTACTTTATCAACCCATCTTATTTGGGGTCTTCCACTCCAGTGCTGTCCCTCCATCTTTCCAAGCATGATGTCCTTCTCCAAGGACAGGTCCCTCCTGGCCACGTAGCCATACTATATGAAACTGAGCTTCAAAATCCTCGCCTCCACGGAGAAACTTGGTTTCATCCTCTCCAAGACAGACCTATGGTAGTTCCTTTCTTCTTTTCATTTGCCATTCATTTATCTGTTCTCCCAATAATAGGCTAAGCCTTAAATTGCTCATCTGAAAAAATGCAAACATTATTTTATAGTACTGTATTGAAAATAATGTACATAAGTTACCCAGTAATCTTCCAAAGTGTTATATAGTTGCTGTTAGCCATCCATGAGTTAACTGCTGGCTCATGGAGGTCCTATGTACAATGGAACAAAACAATGCCTCTTCTTGTGCCACCCTTCTAAATTATAAACTGGACTGTTATAATCCGTAGAGTTTTTTATTGGGTGATCTACCAAAGTAGATATCCAGTCTTTCTTCCTAATCTACTTTAGAAGCTCCACTGAAACTTGTTCAGTGTCACAGCAACACACAAATCACCGACAGACGAGTGTAGGCTATACACAGGGTATGCTGGCTCAGAGTCGAACCCAGATCTCAATCAGAAGCTGAGGTTCTACCACTGCACCACCCCACCCCAGAATGTTATGTTGCTGTTGTTGTTGCTATGTGCTGTCAAGTCACTTGCAACTCACAGCGACCCTATGTACAATAGCCCTAAACTCTGCTCTGTCCTATGCCAATCTCACTGTCTCCAACAAATTCATTCAGATTACCCGTCACTGAATCAATCCACCTCAGAGGGTCTTCCCCTCCTGTGCCATCCCTACACCCTCCCAAGCATGATGTCCCTCTCCTAGGACCAGTCCCTCCTTACAACATGTCCAAAGTATGTCAGATGAAGCCCCAGAATCCTTGCCTCCAAGGAACAGCCTGGTTTAACCTGCTCCCGGATGAATCTGTCTGTTTTCTTGGCAGTTCATGGTACATTCAATACTCTTCACCAGCTCCACAACTCAAAGGTGTCAATTCTCCTTCTATCCTCCCTAGTCATTGTCCAACTCTGATGCATAACAAGTGACTGCAAAGACCATGGCTTGTATCAGATGCACCTTAGTCTCCAGAGAGACACCATTGCTCTTCAGTACTTTGGAGAGGTCCCTAACAGCAGACTTTCCCATGGCAATAAGTCTTTTAATTTCCTGGCTGCTGTTGCCAAGAGTGTTGACTGTGGAGCCAAGCCGACTAAAGTTGTTAACAATCTCAATCCCGTCACCATCCATCCTGATGCTGCCAATTGGTCCAGTGGTGAAAATCTTTGTCTTCTTGATATTAAGCCTCAATCCACATTGAAGGCTGCAGTCCTTGATGCTCTGCAGAAAGCATTTCAGGTCTCCTCAGTTTCAGCAAGCAGGGTGTGTCATCTGCTTAACAGATTTTTTTCTAACACAGATTTTTTTTTTTAAATTTAGGTTATTTTTCATTTCAATGAACATCTACAGAGATTTTGGGATTCCATTCATTCATTGTTGCACCCTTCTCCCCGCACAAACCCC